TTTATCGTTTTCAGGGCATCAAATAATAAATCCAAATTCTTTGTTCTTTTCAAATACTGAAAATTCGGCCTTCAGTGTCTTCATATTTGAAATTATTTCTTCAGGTCCCTCAAGAAACCTATGAACTGATTTTTCCATGGCTTCTTTTAGAGCATTGCCCTGATTAATAGTTTCTCCGTCTCCGATATATTCATCATCGGAATCTGTTTCCATACAAGAATTTGGATATATTCAAGACAATATTTTTCCAGATGACTTAATAATATCGAATTTCGATTCTAGTGGAAATACACTAGATTTCTTTGTTGAAATGTTTTGTGGATTTTGCAAATATAGCAAAAGGGTTACGAATCCAACTTGTCTTCTATCTTGAATTCGTACTTCTAAAGCATTTAATAATTTGGAACTAATTTCAGTCTTTAAATTTTTTAGTTCATATAACAGAAATTTTTACATATTAATTTTAATATCTAAAACAGGTTTTTTAAATTTTAAAAACCGACAAACCATATTAGATACCAACGTTTCGAAGAGACATACTGTCGCCATCGTCAGGGGTGAAGGTACTAATGATCATAAAGCCAGTCTCGCATCTGAAGTTAATTGAAGCTTGGACCAATGAATGGTGCAGAACCGCAGAGAGACCACCAGATGGAGCCACACAGCGACGTACGTCACTCGTGACACTGCGCTGACAGGAAAAGGCCACTTTGTATTGTAGTTGTTCTTTGCGGCGCGACGCTGAGGATCTCCTCCTGCAGTCACGTGTCGGCGCTTATCCTGCGAAGCTGTACGTGCTTCAGCATGTAAGCTGTTCAAGCTGGCTCAAGCCAGTCGGTCGACGTATGCTATTGGTAACAAATGCTGCAGCGGATGCATGTAACTCTTTCATTGGGGGAAAATAAAATCCCGTGGGAAGAGGCCATTTGCAATACAGCTGGTCGTGACCAGGATTATAATATTAATATTGATCGCAAAGCCTTGAAGTAAATTGCATTAAACTGACATCACTGCTCTCACAGCATCCAGTAGGGACTTGATTGTGAGGGGCGACTTGAGAAGTAACTTAAAGGAGGTGGACGTGAGATTTCCTGGGCTTGGGTGAGGAACGCTGTGAAGAAACTGACTGATATTAGCTGACCTTCTGACCCCCGATACAATCCGAGAGCGATGGATGCGTAGTACACGCACGACAATTAATTGTGACCTAATTCGATGATTCATTATGAAGAATGCCTTGAGTTGAGGCCAGTATCAATTCGGTGAGAGTTCAAGGAAGGTGCCGTGCTAACCTATCATGCACGCAGTTGGGCAGCTGTCTGGTTCTCAGCCAGAGTTGTTTGAAAAACTTTGCAAAATGCATTAAAAAGTCAGTTTGCCGCCATTCAGAATTGTAGGTTTGTTTGTGGTGCTCGCCAGTAACGGACTGCTGAATCTCCAGTGAGAGAATCTGAGTTTCATTATGCAGGAAGCAATCTTTGGCCCTCGTGGCAATTATCTCATTGCAGGGTTTTGGTACAGGGATTCACAAATTTTTTCAGACCTGGGGCCACACGTCCCCTCCCTATCAACTCACATGCTGCGAAAGAAGACAATTTATTTAAATTCATGGCAGTCTATTAAAAATGTTACTAACTTGCTAATGCAGAGATTCACTGTTTAGACGGGACATAGTTCTGTATTTGACGTTCGTCATTAAGAAGAACGAGCGCTTGTTCGCATCGATGGGAACTGCCACATGCAGACAGCATCAGCGACGTGTCCCTTCTGATGTCCGGCAAACGTGACACACAGTGTCATGAAAAATTCACGAGGGCCTCTCAGAACGTGTCTGAGGATCGCAAACCGTTGAGAACCCTGGTGTAATATTTGTAATTGTATGCGTTTGCTAGCCACGGTGGTCTAGCGGTTAGAACGCTGGCCTTGTAATCCTGGGGTCTCGGGTTCGAATTTATAACTTGTGTTGAGCAAGGCCGTGGTCTAGGCAACACGGAGTTTTCCTCCGTGGCATCCCAACAATTACTCCATTCACACACAGAAGAAGGCAATGGCAAACCACTTCTGGATCATCTGCCAAGAACGGATATGAACAGGTCCCAGTCCGAGAAAAGGAAGGAAGGATCCTGTTCATATGGACCTATCG